AAGAACTGCCTTGTCACATGATCACTATTGTCCAAAGGGCAATGCACCATTATTGTCTTGACTATACATACTCCGTTATCGAGCGCGATGTCCAGAGAGATAGTAGTTGTGCATTTTGAATAATAAAGGGGAATTAACTTGGTTGTAAAGCCGTAAAACAGCATGTCGGTCTTGAAGCTTCTACGTGGATCCTCTTCCAGTAGAAAAACTAAGCTTCCTAAGTCATACTAGTTCAATACTGCTGAAAGTCAATAGCAGGAAACGGTTCGAAACAGAAGTTCACCATGGATTCATTTATAATGTCAACAATGAAGAAGGTATACAAATTGGCCAGTTGTGTTTCTACATAGGTGTAGGCGGCACAAATTCACATTAAGAACTTGAATCACGTGATCGTCGAAGAGGTAATTAAAGTCACTGGTATACTACGGTATTATTCTGTACCATCTGCTAACGATCGTTGTGTTGGGTAACATTCTAACAAATGGGTACTTTCGGCACTGAGCCGTATCTTGTGTAATGTGCTGAGAACTGACGAGATCGAGGATGAATTAGTGTACTGTGGTTTTGTGAATTGGTACCTAACTAAGTCGGCACTTCAAGAGTCACAAGTGTATCTCAATGTGTTAGCATTAACTGTGAGTCCTTGCCAAGCATAATGAGTTCTGCCGTCGATCGCTTTCGTCAAAACACTAGCACAGGTTATGGGGAAACATTTCAGACAAATGTGCCTTTAGGCCACATGCCGAAACCCCCTTCCCTACGTGCTAGGCGACGCGATAACCTTGTCGCTGTTTTCTGGACCCCACTCACCGTGCAATACTAAATTTGTGTGTTATGGATTAATCACTTATGACCGTATTCTAGTGGCAGTTTGCTGTTAAACCTTTACCACATTCCAAACGACACATCTGTTGCATATTTTGACTCGAGGGTGCGTTTCCCTACCCTGGAACCAGATCCACTAGGGGTAGACAGTAAGACAGTTTGCAGTGGAATTTTTGATCACATTATTGAGATTGAGTGATGTATAAATATAGCATCGTTCCTCTTAACCATGAATTTGACTCTTTTGTTCGTCGAAATCCTTGAGCACTTGTTATCACGGACAAAGACCATGTCTTCAGCATTCTAATCAATGTAGCAGTAGACAGCAAATCTGGAATTATACACGCGGATGAGGAGTCAGCGCGTTTGTCCATTTCATCTTCCATTAAACTTCAGAGTGGGCATAAGCGAGTTAAATAGGTATAGAAAGGTGGGTAAGTCATCACCATCATTACATGTTAGATGGAGGTGGAAAATACCTCAGCTATTGTGCCGCAATACAAAAGACAGGAAAAGGAAAACAAACAGTGGCACGCCAGCTGAGTCCCCAGTAACGGATGGACATCGTTCCGGAGAGCTAACAGCTGGCTATCGGGCCGTAAAAAGAGAGTCATATTATGCCTAACAAGTGAGATCGTGATTGGAAAGGGATGCTAAGCAGGAGAGGGATGGACAAAGGAACTCACAACACAAACGCCATTGATGCCGACTCCGAGCCATATCAGCAAGTGTGTCCAACCAAACGTGTTCACCGTCCTTGGGACCCCAGCCAGGCAGTCGGGATGCACCAACCGATGCCAACTTCGAAGTGAGGGTTTTCATTTCTCTCGACCAAGTCATCACTTGGCCTCCCCTCCTCCTCTTCCAATCGCACCCACAACGAGCAAACAATGCACGTCGCGGGAGTCGGTGTGCTGGCGTGCGCAACACGTGGCCCAGCCATCGGAGCCTGGTGCGTGATATAATGGTGCTGAGCGGTTCAATCGCTCTTCCTGCACCAAATACGCGACGTCGAACACGCTCATTGCTCACGCGGTGCTCCCACCAGACATGAGCTAAGCTGCGAAGGCAGCGATGATCGAATATGACGAAAAGGTGGGTAAGGAATGAGTATGGATACTCAGTTTGTCTTGTTTTTTCAGCCATCGTGTAAAAGTGGCAAACTAATAGTTACTGTGCGGTGACGGACAAAAACTGAAGAAAAATATTGCCATAGTTTCTCTGCTTCGAGGAAAAAGTTACTTGCATTGTCAAGAAAGATGCAGTTTGTTTACCGGTTTATTAAAGGTTCTATTCACTGGTAGCCTGTGTACACTAGGCACGACCATAGCAACAACATTTTTGGTGGGGTACATATGACTTCTTAATTTGTGCAGCCAATTTGTTGGTCCAAAAAGCCAATGTTACATCTGGTGAGAAATGACCCCCCCTGATAAAAGATCGAACAGACGCAGGTAAAAAGTCTCCGTTGATAGTGTAGCGCCCAAAAAGATAACCGTTATGTTTTATCTACTATTTAATTGTTGACCAACTGTATATTATTCTTTCTTGTTTTAATCTTCCTTACAACCTGCTCGACACTCGACCGCTTTGTAAGTTCCCGCGCTAACGTGTACCTCCTGCCTTGCTTCATCCGTCCGCGTTTTCTTGTAGCCCATCGAATACAGTCCGCTGTGTCCGACTCCAATTGCCTTCTGATATCCGCGCTTACTTTCGCGCACCTTCTCGGACTAGTATTTACTAGTCCTACAATAGCATAAACTCCGGAGGCTTGTCAGAGTTTCCCTTCTACGCAGATCAGAGGTCACAGTTCATATTCGAACAGACAATCAATAAGTTCTGGAAGCTGAAAAGCATAAATAAATGTGTGTACCGTATGAAATGTTTCTTTTATTGTACTGAACCTTCGATGAGATGTGATGGGGCATAGCTAGCGCGGCATTTGGTCATCCTTTACGATGGCATGGTGTTCTCAGGCACTCTTATGTTATTTGGTGCACTTCTGTGGGATCATGCATATGATATTCATGTTCTTCCGATACTAAAGTGATCAGTTTTATCTGCGGTCCCTTGTTAGTTACTGTTGGTTCATACTAGTGAAATTGTACGAGGAATATAGATCTGGTTCTATTCGTTTTGACCACTGGAGTCACTAAAAGCGAACGACATGGCATCTGCGATTTGTTTCGTGTATTTCGTCAGTAGATGGAGACCGGCATGTTTTTGAGCTAAAACACAACCTATCCTCCACTTCCGTACACAGCACTAGTACGTGAATGATAGGATGACCGTTGGCGTAGTGTCTTCATGAGGTGAACATCGAAATACGTACAGGTTGTTTAGTAAGCGAATGAGTAGTACTAACATTTTGATGATTTTAACATAGTTAATGTCAGCCAAATTCACCTCTGTACATTAGTTGCCCTATTGTGCGAAGGTTTCAGCATTCTTGTCGAACGTTCTGCGTATATACTCCGAATCCACACGAAACACCACCCATGACAGCCGCTTTCAGAAATAGTTAAACAGCCTCCCAACTCCGGTTGTTTTAAGGAATCTGTTTACGAGCGCTTTGTTTAATTTGATTACGGCCATTCGGGGTAGCGGGGAATTCTTGTACCCCTGCGAACTTTAGACGGCGCGCAGTAGACAAGCGAACGGCAGGTATTCAAACTTAAAATTGTCTTACCACTGATTTTCGCTTAACGGTAAAGTATATGAGCTATTATATGCTGTAAGTTATCACTAAACCGCCCGTTAATCCACATAAACCAGAATGTGCGGGACATTAAGTGCATACTCCGTGTGAGCCTCCATGGTTAATAAAAGCCACGTGTGCAATACGGCAACTTGTTAATGTTTTACGAGCACAAAACAAGGAAAAACAGGCACGCAAATAAATTTCGTAGGCAAGGTAGTGCAAACGTGTGCCTTGATATTCCGTCCTAACCTAGAATACTGTGCACGCATGACATTGGAATGCAGTGGCCTCCCTGTAGATGAACAAGCGTATAACCAGATTAAAGTTTTAAATTTTTATGTCTTCTGTGCGCATTGGCCATCGCACTTTTCGCTGTATAGCTCTAATTCTAGTATATGTACCGCCGGAGCGAGTACAAAAGGTTACACACCCAAAATTCGAACCCCGACCCCACGGCTGACAATCCGGCACGATACCACCAGGCCATATTCGGGTTAAGGGAGGTTCGTCGTAGCCAGTTGCCAAATCAGATAGTCCTCTACATGCCCGGAAAAGCACTAGACTGCAGTTTCAGGGTTATGCCCACCGCTTATTTGTTAGCCGAACAACCGTCCGTTCAAGCAACGTCAAAGCAAAGATTGCAAAAAGCAAATTTCCTCAAAGTTTGTAAAGTTCTTATAGGTTAACGAAGCTGCATAACACTATTACACCATTTATTTCGCCATATTTTTGCATAGTTTGGTCGCTACAGTAGTACAGCAGTGGCACTTCGAGTATGCTACCAGACGGTTGGGATTCACTGAGCATATTCCAGTATATCAAAGCTCGTTAAGAGTATGGTCAGTCTTCTCCGCATGTTCGCATGGACCAACTAAAGAGTTAAGGGCACTGGGTTCATAATTGAAATGGGGACCACTTGAGTGAGATTGTCACTAGCGACTCCGGCTCCAGATGTCCAGAATTCGTTTGACTGTGCTGTAGGAAAATCTCTATAATACGAGATACAGGGGACACCACAATTCGTTTTATAAAGATATCTATCATATTTGGTATGGCGTACCACAAAATCGACAGGTGGAAATTTTTCTCCAGTTTTTTTGTTGCTATGACCTACAAGCCCACGTTCTCATCACCTATTTGAAACAAACGGGGAATGACACAACATCAGCGATGCATTGTGCGTAGTGAGTTGAGTGTGACATTAACTACGAGCAGTGGTCACAAAGCGATAGGTATCGATCTGAACACCGTTACTTCCCCGTTTCATGCTCGAGAATAAAAGGAATGCGGTACCTTTTGGACTATGGAGGGCCACAGTAAATAGTTACATACTATTGATAGGTTTGAGACATCCTACTCACCCCTGCATCAACTGTGCTAAGATGTCTGATCCATTGATGATCATAAACTCATCCTCCCACGGAATGTAGACACGCGCCAACATATTTTGTGCATTGCTTTCTGATTTCAGCACGTAGCGTTGGCGAGGCTGTTTGCACAGAACATCAGGACGGATGATCGCTTTGAACTGGTTGGTGACGCGCTGTTAGGACTCGTTTGCTTTCGATTGAAGGTAAGGATGTACCTCACTATCAAGTTTCACCTTTGTGAGTTGATAATCAAATGTGAGATACTTCTATCGCAAACCCACGAACCATGCTAATGCGTTCATTGTCGATTCAGTGGCTTCTGGTTCCACACTTGCTTGACCGTTGGTAACATCAAGTCCATCACCCGGCTATCCCAATGAAATAACTCCAGGTCGGTTCTTTCTAACCGCCTACTTCATGCGATCACCGAGCTAGAGCCAACATCAAACGTTTCTCGATGAATCGCCTAACGGAGAACCAACATTCAACATAGTTCCTGTAAGTAAAGACTGGGTTATGTGAGTTGCAGAGAGCTGAGCAATGGTTATGGATTGAATTGATTCTTCCACCGTGTTTGCTGTCACGGCACTATCCTTCCATGAGGTAAACCAGCCATATTCAGAAACGAAACACGAGAGATTGTTGATTGTTGTAGTCTACAAAGCTATATTTTGAAAATACATAAGAGCGCCAATGGTCAGGTTATACCTGTAGTGCATTTAGTTATTGATGATGCCGTTTCCCATTCTCTCAAAGGGATCGAACGCGCTTAACCAACTCCTTACCCGAGCCATCAACGAAAGTTTGCGGCTACACGTTGTGCCCGGAGTGGTGAAGGATCTATACTTTATTCGATTCGCTATTTGTCGCGAAAATGCCACTTCAGTGGATGTTGAAAAAGCCTGGCACTGGATTAAACAGCTCGCACTGGAGATATTGGCTGCGAAGGTGAGTAGCCCTATCTATTCCCAGTGAGTACATGATAACACACTAATTTCTGCAAGAAGTTGCATAGCTGTTTGAGTTTTCTTTTCTTTTCTTAGGAAGCGCTGGACAGCTGGTATGGGCGTTTATCGACCAGATTCAAGGAACCGCTTGAGTTGGACGATACAAGTTTGGAAAATCTGTATCCCTCTGAGCACAGCGATGATGAGGAACAGAATGAATTTGAGGCTGATCATGAGAGTGTTCATATGTCAAAGTTAGAGACAGAACTTGCTAGCTTTGCCAAATATCGCTTAGACAAACTTCTGGAAGTCGGGGAAACTGAAGCACACAGGACTTTACTGCATTATCTGCAAAGGCTCGGATGGGACACGTCGCGCTTGCTACGTAGGGGTGATGCAAACTCTGATGGACCTCAGGATGCACCGTGGGAAGTGCACAATTCACTGGGGACTGTGCCAGGCAGCAGTGAAGTGAAGAATGGACTAGACTTAATTTCAAGGATTCAGGTAAGTTCGTCTGCGTCCAATTGCTATCCTTTCGGCCTTTGCCCAAGACAGCTTTTAGTATGAAGCACAGTGTTCGGCTCTCATAGAATGGCTGCCATTAGCTTTATAAATTCAGGCATATTAACTAGACAACAAGTTGATGAGTTACTCGCTATTTTGGTAAAATAACCCTTTGCATATCATTTGAGGCAGGACGTCCCAATCGTAGCGCGTCCCACTGAATTGAATTTCTATCCCTTTTTGAAAATGTGGCAACTTTGAAACCGTTTATGAATTCTTCAGGATGGTTAGAGAGTTACTTTAGTTAAACTGAATGCTAAATATTGAATCACGTATTACAGGAGCAAGTAGAGACTTAACTCTGTACAACAACATCGGAATACGAACAAAGCTATGAAAAGCCAAAACAGACTATCTCTGAAATGTTAACACGGGGCATTTTTAAACTTCCCGCGTGATCCCGTTTAAAACGTATAACTCACTATCAGTCGGGACTCAAAAATGTGAGATTTCACTGTCATTGAGTAATCACGCACAGTCGTCAATGCCTTAAACTGATGTACTGAGTTTTCTTCCAATACATACTTCGATAAAATGATCCAAACATTGGCTACTCACTGTTCGACACACATTGAGCGGGCAACTCACAGCACGTCTATACCATAAATTCACAACGGGGTACAATTGTGCTGCATAGTGTTCGAAATTGGAGCAGTCGCCTCAACTTGGATAAATCACCACTATGTAGGATAGGGTAAGTGATGCTAAGGTCGACTCGCACCAGACTATAGGACAGGATGTAGAGTCCTCCTTTCTCGCACCTGTCTTCTTACACTGAGGCCCGCAAACTATGCAAGAGCCTGGTAGCAACGTGTTAAACTCGTTCAATATTCTGCACCTACCTTCGAGTAGTTGGTCAGTAGGCGGGCGATCCATACTTTAGCATTGATCTGATGCCGAAGAAGAGGTGACTGGCAGTCTCTTCAGACCAGATGCAGAAGCTGCGTTTGGGCGCCTAGAGTGTGCACAGGACGTTTTGGTATAGCCTGTCCGTATTGCACAAGTATTTCAATTCGTAACGTTAGAGTACGCTTAGGTTTTTCACGGAGAGTGTGGGATGTATCACTTGGCCGTCGACTGCATGTTCGACCATCACCATTCTTTCCCAGGATAATGAATACAGACTTGAACTGGTTGATTGGGAGACGGAGGTCTGCAGACCGCATAAAGAGGTGGTTGAGATCTCCCTGAAATAGGCTTCAGTCGTCAGAATTGCTAATCATTCTCCACAGTTCCAGGTTGTCAGCAAACATTGCACTCGGCAACCGAAGAAACTGCAACTTGTTAATATAAATCGTGAGCAATGTAGCCCGAGCCGCGTGCCTTGTGGTACGCCACTGCTGGAAGGATGCCGGTCGGTCAGATGGCTATCAACTTGCAGCCTCCACTTCGGTCCAATGAGAAACTCGTGAATCCACTGGAGCAGTGAGCCGCCAAAACCGCACACTCTCATCTTGTTGAGGAGGACCTCATGGTCCACCTTGTCAAACATCTTACTGAAATCGATGTAGATCACGTCGACAGACTTCCATGGTTCACCTTTTTGCTGAGAAGATACATCAGCCAAACATACACTCAGCCAAACAGCTATCACACATTCAGGAAAGCGCTGGTTCAATGAGGACGACCATTCATGTCACCTCGTCAGAAGTTTGGTAATGCAAAAGCGACCTGGCATAAAACCGTGCTGTGTGGGCGTCAGTAGATCATTCGCTTTGAGCAAACGTGGTACACCCTACTTCACAATTTTCTCGGCAACATTGGCCAAAACAAGTGTCATACAAATAGACCTGTAGTTGTCGACGTCACTGGGGTCACCGCCTTACGGAATCGGTTTTACCGCCGAACATTTCCAATCAATTGACAATGAACCTTCGGACACTGATCTATTGAACAGGTCAGTCACAGCAGATGAGATGCTGACTGATATGTACTTGAGTAGCAGTGGGTAGAGTCCGTCTGGACGAGCAGACCTGGGGCCCTTAATGTTGGCACCTCTTCAACATAGCAACCTAGACTCTCGAGTTAGGTAAGGACGGAGTACGCCGAACTCGGTACCGACACTGGACATTTTCCAACAAATGCGCCGTAAGTACGGAAGCCCACTCAGTGCTGGACGTTAGAGGCTGTCCTTCCGAGCCCTTTAGCATTCGTAGAGCACCTGCAGACCTCAAGCGCCACTTCACGTAAGCAAAGATTCTCTTCTGGGTGGTCTTCGTGGCCGTTGCCAGCTGTTCTTGCATGTGTTGACGCTTCCCCGTTTTTGCACTATTGTAATCATTCCACTCCCTTTTATACGCCTCAATGCCGCTATAATAGCCTGAGAGATGGAATTTGTCCGACAATCTGCGCCACCACCAAGTCATTTTACATTACTCCATGTCGTAACAACGTGACTTGACCGGTCCGACTTTCTGACACTTCAGTGGCACAAACCGGTCACTCAAAGAGTTTACTTCTTCCTTTGTAACTGATCAGAAATTGTCACCAGATGCATTTTGTGGCAGGGACCAATTCATTTGTTTCACGGCTCGAGTCAAGCGTCGAAATTTATTTTCCAGAAATTCTAAACTGGCTTAACCTTACCAGACCTGTGACCCTAAACCTACCTGTCCCCTATACCTGGGCTCCTGAGTATTAAAGAGAGAAAGCCAACTTGAAATTGCGAACCACGGTTGGTTTGCTATTTTTATTTGTGACATTTTTCACCTACTATACAAAGCGCCGACAATTACGTACAGCAGTATAGCGGCAGATTCAGAGATGACTCAAAAACCGATACAAAGTTCCGGTAGGGTTAGGTGCATAGGAACGCAACAGTGGCAGCTCCACTTTGGCAATAATAACTGAATGGTCGCTTGCCGCACGGGACACCAGGATGTGAACGCAAATGCTGTTCACAGCATGATAACGTCAAGTCTGAGCCCGATGGATTGCAGCGCGGTGTTATGCCCATCGGTTGGGACATTGGAATATTGTATTTAATGGGAATAAAGACTCGAGATTTACATGACCCATGGGGTAAAAAGAATTCGGGTCAAGTCTGCTGAAAGGCCAAGCAACCTTATAGCTAGTTGGACTCGCTTGTTAGCCGTATCTTCATCGGCCTTAGGCGGCAGTTAAACCGAGTGCTCGCCGGCTCAAAACGTGACATTCCACCACGGTTGGCAGATGTGTTGTGCGGCCCCAGTTACAAGTACCACATCAGCGAACTTTGCTTCGACCTCACAAAATCTGGGGATAACTTGGACTTCTGGTCAGCGTATTCGAGGACAAATGAAATCGCCCACGAGTGAAAATGGGGATGACTCATGTGGTCCCGGAGACGCGGCAGCCATCCAAACAACCACAGTAGATTACAGCTTGTTTCGAACAACTGGTACCTTGTATGCTGATGTTTAACAGAAGCTACGAACGACCGAGGTAATTTTGTGGATATCTTTAGTTAACTCTTCGTCCAACCAGAGTTTTGCCATTAACTTCTTGAAGACGATTTCGTAGTGCCCACAGGTACTTACTAAGCATCTGAAAGTGTAAAAGTGGACCGAATCCATCGGTTCCTACCCGTGCTTCATTATGTAGCTCAAAGCTTCGCATAATTCACTTTCAGAACTCCAGATGCTCCCCCAGACGCAGCAGGTGTCTGTGAATATATGGAGCCTTTGGTTGCCCGCCATAAAAGAACCCTCCTGCTATGCAGTAAAACAAGTGCAATGGATGAGGTTAAATGTGTTCTGTTGTTATAGGTTGTTTCATATAAGTTGTGCTGCCCTTGAGGTAGTAAAAAGAAAGACGGGTTCTGCAATTTTTCATCACCACAACCTACACTTCGCTGCAATTGGGCACCATAGCTGAGTTGTTTTACACCTGCAGCTAGGGTGTACAATGATGATGGGGTATGTTAACACAAGTAGGAGATATAGTTGAAATTCAGTCCCGAGGGTCACAAGTGTTGTCCAGTGTAAGGAGTATAGGATACTGGCTCCACAAATGAGCTAAAATTCACCATCGGTCAAATGCCTCCTCGACTTGTCATGCTCCTACCTTTAGCCTTAGCCGGCGACCGTATACACTGTATACCCGCAATCAGCCCCAAACCACCTAATGCTAGTCACTGGTTACCTCATCGTGAGACGTCACTACTACTGTCACTTTATTGGATGTCTATAGAAAGCTAACTGTAAACGGATGTCCATCTCCACGATCATGGTGAATTATGGAGACACTCTAACTGGACTCCCGTATGGCGTCGCTTTTATAACCCATCAGCATAACCCATGCGTCTGTATGTCTGAGCTCGTATCCCACCAGAACAACCATGTTTCCTTCTCGATTTCTCTGACTGAGTAAAGCAAGGAAGGACACACGCGAGCACGGGGCAGCCTCGTTATATCTTGCTACATTGAATACCTTTGCATGCACAACTAACACTGAATTCCCTTAGTGGCAGCACTGGTGTTTTCGGGTGTTTTCTCTAAGGGGAAATGTTTTGTTTAACTTTACAAGCTGGCGGTTCAGTTTATCGTGGAACTTGCCCTAAATTAACTCCATAATTTCCAGTAAGCCAACAGATCGCCAGGCTGTTCGAGAAGCTCATGCCTCTCACTAGGCGTTAGTCACCAAACTCTCATATATTGTCTCAAATACTGAGAACACAAAAGGTTTAGCGGGATCAATGTAATGTCCTGTCACTCCGGTTGGTTACACAGATGTCTCATTAACCTTAGCCGTAGATAAGCTGAACCTGTACCGTGTTCATCCTCAGCTCGGAGTTGCCTAATCTGTACCGGCCGTTGCAATGACATGGGGAGGAGTTCCGACACGGGGCACAGAACCTACTAGAACTAGTTGCTCGTGCTCGCTCTTCATCACTTTCGATTCGACTCGAATGCAAATCAGGGGCCGTTCACCAATAGGCCTACGATTGGCTGTGTGTTGTTTAGGAGATCAGACCGAAAGGACGGTCACGCCAGCTCGAACCTTGTTAGACTTATTGCAGAATAACTGGCGCTGAAGAAGCGTTACTGTAGTTTTCGTGAAAGTTATGCCAAACTGAGTGTTTTACTCCGAAAGATCGCAGTCTGCGGCATGCAGGAAACTATTGAGCCACTGACAGTTGAGAGCCTGGGGGAGTAATTGCAGACCCGATTTCCACCTCCTGAAGCGCGGAAACCGGTAACTGTGACTCAAGAAACGTGGTGCACCACACAGTTAAGCTGCAGTTTGAGTTAGTCAATGGTCTATTACGAGTATCATGCCAATGCTCGACCGGTGCTATAGGAAGTTGGGGTGAATAATGAGGAGAACTACATAGGGTCAACGAACTAGAGCAAGTGTTGGAGGACTCACCAATAAGTTTAACTCAGCACACCGATCGTCTGTGCCATGTTGTTGCCCATTCAGAAAGCCCAGTCAAGTAATGTAAAGGTATGGGTGCATCGTCAGAACGACTTTCTGAATATCGGTGATGTGTGAAAGAAATAACGTTGGTGATAAGGGTGTAGCAAAGTTGGCGAACACAACGACGGAAGGGATTCCGGCGGAATTCCAACTGACTATGCACGTGTGTTTATGTTTGCTGTTTATATTTCCAGTATTCGTCCCTTTAGTAGAAGTTTCAAAGACTCCCTGTCCAGAAGAACTAGGAGAAACATAAGTAGTCCTGGGCTCAAGTCAACGTCCGTTTGAAGCGGAAATGACATGCTCTTTGTTGGCTCTAATATGGCACGACACTCCACTGAGATGATTTAGATTTAGCTTTCACCCATGGATGTCTCAGACAAGCATCATTGCATTATTCGTGACCATACAGCTGTACCTCAGGGAACGAACAAACAGGGCGAGAGCGATACTCACCTGTGCATGCTTAGATGGTTGCTGAGCGAGCAGCGCACATTCGATCACCAGCTGCCGTTTGCCTAATTGTTCTCGTCTGTCGGCTTCAAGCACACTCACGACCATGTGTCCAGCTCAGCTGCCATAATAAATGCACTAAGAGGCAGATTTACTGCGGCAGGATCACGGGCGCGTTTGGTTGATCAGTCATCGGCTGTGGGATAAAAGCTTAGCAGGTCGCTTGTATGCTTTCTAATCTCCAATCATTGTGTGCGTAAGAAACATTGGTTCTGGTTACGGGACATCCACAACCACAAGGCTTGTTTGCTGCTCACGCTGTCTATACCGTCCCGGTGATGACGCGGTTACCCACCCTCCACTGTACTATTGAGGTGTCACCATACCTAACTGTCCGTCATTGGTATGGTAGGCCAATATTTGCGGATGAAGTTCTAGACAGTTAACACCTGATGCTGCACACCGACTGAGTTGAAAAGTATAGCTTCATGATGATCGTATATCAAGTGGTCGTGCTGTCTGCCAACATACTGACTCTGAGTTACCCTTGAATCATTGATAATGGAAATGATCTCATTGGGTCAGGAGGAAACATGTAACCACGTGAACTGAACATTTCTACAACTTTGTTCATTCCCCATTTTGATCAGGTCGGTAACTTTCTTCCCTTATTCCTACCAGAATTTTACGTTACAAGTCCATTCGAAGCCGTGTGTCCGGAAGACGCGAAGACGCACGCAGTCGGCAGATTTCAGTGGATCACTTCAAAAGCATGATGGACATGAATTCCGGGGTCTTATGCACCGCACGCAAACCTTCAGTTCCGCCATAATCCATGGCGAATCGCGCAATCCTTCACCTTCGCGGTTGTCCCCTTCTGACAACATCCCAAAATCTGCCTGGGTTACTTCGCATTCTTTCGCTGTTCCAGAGCAAATCCCATCAGCGATTCCGCTGCATTGGAAAGTGCCAGAACTACCTCATACTGCGTGTGGCACCGTTCATACGGGCTTTCGACGTCTGACGAGCATGCGCGCGTTTCAGAACGAATGTGACGCACAAGGACCACGTATCAGTGAGAGGGACTTGGGAGTTGGTGCCATACACACAAAGACATTGACGAAACTGAGGCGTCACAGCTTGATCCGAATGCTAGCCGACCCCATATGCCTAGACGAATCTGGACAAACTGACTGCACAAGCGAGCGATATAAAGATGGGAACATTGCAAGCAGAAGTTGGCGATATAAAGTGATGGAATTCAACAGAATGTTAAAGTCGTTTGAATATGCGAAAAGTAACGAACCTAACCGTTCAACCATATAAAATTAACTCTCAGAGACGATAAGAGAAAGTATCCTTCAGTTGGCGCTCATTGGGTCTTCACATGCCGCTTCGCTAGAAGACAAAAATGCAACATTCGAGACTTGAGCTACATCAAAGACAACAGATGACTTTCCGTAATTTCCAATCTCTTTTATAAACACCTTAATTCTATTGTGGAATCGAACATCTGAACGATTTGAAGCTGTAAGTTAATCCGTTCGTGTGGTTAGTAACCCCATCCATAAAACGATTGTCCTCTATGAAAATTTTTGTTTAAATTAATGCCATTATGCCTTGGGCTTCCTACCTAAACTCATTATTGTGTGAAATTAATAAAGCTAATATTGCACATTCGGTCTGAAACATTTGGCGCATATCAGAAGCAAATGTGCCACCGACGATAAATCCGGATCGACAGAGACTTCGTCACAGATGGCAGGATGAAAATGAGCAAGACATTTAAAAAATTAAAAGCAAGGCGTACCAAAACAACCCACTGTATACGAGTAAATCGGAGAAAGCATTGTTATCAGAACAAATGTTAGCGAACAAGCTCGTTTTCAGTGGTTCCTCATCAGGCTAATACACCACAAATGAATGACATGAACGTAAACATCAGCTAAGGATACAGGTTCAAAACCCAGATGGTCTGAGTGACCAAGCTAGGCGATTGGCCCCACGGCGATCAACAGTTTGTGTGTGTGTGTGTGTGTGTGTGTGTGTGTGTGTGTGTGTGGCGTTGTCCACACTATGTGTCTGTGTTACAAGGGACCGGGGTAGAATTAGTGCCTGGACAAATTTCTTGTGTGCACATAGGTCAGGGTCATGAAGCCTGATGGCTATCGCCTCGGCCGCTGCCAGTAGACGACATCTAACCTCTCTTGTGTGGCATCTGGGTTCACGGTAGATGGGCTGGAACACCTCGTTTTAAATCCACATGATCAATACATGCTACCAGTACCTGAAGCACAAACCTGAAGTCAGGTATTTACTGACGAACGCGCACTTAGACGCCCTCAAAGCGCTTAAACGGAACGAAAACGTGCTGCTCTAGGCGGGATAAAGGAGCAGGGATTGTGCTTATGGATAAATCTGACTATATCGCTAAGATGAATGCCATCCTCGATGATCATTCGAAATTCCGGATGATGGAGAAAGAGAAAGACAAAACGGCCTCGATGGAAAAGACAGTCACAAAGCTACTACGCTGCCTGAAGCAAGAGAATGCGATTGACTCAGTGGTTTTCGAGTACACGCGTCCCTCCAGGACAGTGATTCCACGTCTTTATGGCTTACCGAATCATCATCATCATATTATACACGTTAGCTAGAGGTGGGAAAACACCTCCGCTATTGTGGCTTACCGAAAGTGCATAAAGAAGGACTTCCATTGAGGCCATTATTAGACGTGTGATTCTCCATATCACTCAACAGCGAAATGCCTCGCTAAGCTTCTAGAACCGATCAGGAAAGTCCCATCCAAACACAGCCTCAGAGATACATTCAGCTTCGTAAACTCCATAAGCCATATGCAGTTAATCGGAAGGAACATGTTTTCTCTAGATGTAGTGTCGCTTTTCACTAATGTTCCGCTGGAGGAGACGATAGACTGCCTTTGCGACGCTGTTCAATTGCATCATGTGGATGTCGGCCTCTAGAAAACGAGCGACTTAAGCAGTTGGCTCTGATGTATATCAGGAACGTACAATTCCTGTTCGACGGGAAGATCTACAGACAGAAGAACGGAGTCGCAATGCGCTCTCCGTTAGGACCATTGTTAGCAGACTTATTTATGAGTAAGTTAGAGAATAACTATCTAAACGGAGTTATCGACAAATTAGTCTACTACTGACGGTAGGTGGACGATATATTCTGCATCTCAGCTAGTCATCTATACACGGATGAATTAGTGAGGCAATTTAACTCAGCCCACGCAAACATAACATTCACCCTTGGCTCTGAGTGCAACAACTCAATGTCGTACTTAGACGTTCAGATTAGCTGAAGATCTGACGGGTCGGTCCAGCGCAGTGTCCATAGAAAGACAACGTGGAACGGGCAATATACTTATTTTGCCAGCTTCTTCCCGCTCAGCCAGAAACGGAAACTTGTCCGGTGCCTAACTGAGCGAGCTAGAATGATATGTATCGAGGACATGCTTTCGGACGAGCTAAACTTTGTACGAAGCCTATTCGATAGAAATGGCTATCCTGAGAGGTTCGTTCGGAGAAACATGGAAGCACGAGAAGCGAAGGCAAAACTAGACTCAGTATGAAAGAAGCCGATCTACTTGTCGTTACCGTTCAAGGGGTCGGGATAGTTGAATCAACATATAGAAGGCTTTCTGCCGCAATCGCTCAAACGTACTATACAGCAAGCCTACGGTTAAGCTTCTACTTATTGCCGACCCTGAAGCAACAACTTAAGGACAGAATTCCAAGGTCAAGTACTTCATTCTGTGTATACTCTTTCTCTTGCTCTTGTCGATCAAGATATATCGGAAGAACTACCAGGAGGCTGTCCGAGAGAGCCAGGGAACACTGTCCAGCTTCGCTGTATAGCGGCGTGACTAGATCAGTGGCAAGCGCAGTGTCTACACACCTGATCGACTCGAGACATCAAGTTAGAGCGCATGAGGCTTACCACCCCATCTACCGTGTATCCAGATGCCACACAAGAGAGGTTAGATGTCGTCTACTGGCAGCGGCCGAGGCGATAGCCATCAGGCTTCATGACCCTGACCTATATGCACACAAGAAATTTGTCCAGGCACTAACTCTACCCCGGTCCCCTGTAACACAGACACATAGTGTGGACAACGCCACACACACACAAACACAAACAAACAAACTGTTGATCGCCGTGGGGCCAATCGCCTAGCTTGGTCACTCAGACCATCTGGGTTTTGAACCTGTATCCTTAGCTGATGTTTACATTCATGTCAATCATTTGTGGTGTATTAGCCTGATGAGGAACCGCTGAAAACGAGCTTGTTCACTAACATTTGTTCTGATGTGTACTCCCGGGATATTTTATCAGTTGAAAGCATTGTTAAACTACATGATAGATTTTGCTACCTCGTTGTCTAAGCGTAAGTGCTTATTATTTGACAAGTTACCTCTTACAGCAAATCACTACAGGCTCACGTATAGTAAGGTGGACACACATGTGTGGAAGATGTTTATCGCTGTGCTGCACTCGTCAGGGATACTCATAAGCTTTCACCACTATTGACTGTATTGGCGTGATAGGTAATTAGAGAAATCCTACCATCCGGTTACTGTGCAGCATACTCCGGTGTATTATTTGAATGCCAAGGTCGCAGCTTCCATAGATGCTGACTGTTAGGGAAATATGACATGGCAGCTTTGTATAACCATGCGCATCAACCAACCGGAAACCGCAGTTCAAACAAGCCATCACTTCTATACTTAATCCTGAATAATTAAGAGTGGGTTGTTGAGTCGGTAGCATACGACCCATCACTGGGCCTTAGAGACCATTCTCTCCTAAGTTTAATTTATATTTGCTATACCAATGTTGTTGACGAAGGACGAGAAACTCAGTAACCTCAACCTAATCCAAGCTTCACAACCTAGAGACAAACGTTCACTGGCAACTCCAGCCGCGAACGGCGCAAGGGATAAATTGAAAGGTAAAGTGAACTGGGTCATACTAGCAGCCTCAGAAGTTGTACTATTACAAGTATCACGCCGGACCAACAGTTGGATCGGAAGCAGAACATGTAAATGGATCAACAAAAGAGATGAGATTTGGAAGCAACATACGCTAAGCCCATGTGATACCACATGGCAGAATTATAAAACGATCAACACTACTGTACGTCACTCATTAGAGACGACAAGTACAAATGGCAGGCGAACATGGTACTCAAGTTCACGAGTAACAACAAACTGCTATACAGGTATTGGAACGGTGAAAGAAAGGTTAAACCTGGAAAAAGTCACACAAATCGGTCAGTGGCTTAACGGCTACTGCTGTGGATACTGCAATAGTTTGCTTACGTTGTTCACTGTCTCAGTAACTCGGGTTAAATCATGTAATGTTGGTGTAGTAATGCTTTTCATCAAGTAGAACTTTGAATCCGGGAGACGTAGGAGCGGCGATAACAGAGATCGAAAGAGCATCCATGGCTTGGAAAAAGTGGGGAGAAAATGTGCCTGTAGCATTCCGACCGACAATACTGTGTCTAAATTTGAATATTAATTTGTAGCTGAGTTCCAATAAGTGTCGATATGGATGGTTGAAGTACCACAGGATCTGATACACCAACCTAACATAACTCCGCAGACGACAATGTCATCCACGAAAACTCCTAGGGACTTCAGATTGAACTATTGAAGGATATGGAGCAAGCAACCTTAAAGCGCTTCAGGTGCTGGATCACAAGGGATACCTCTCCTGCTTCAGTGAGTGACTTCAGCGACACCTCTATTGACATGCAATTGGATGTGCTGGGTGCAAGGGTAGACAGGGAGGAGCAACGAGACATAGATTAGAAATTCTCAGCCTAACTGTCTACACGTCTGTGCAAGTTAGAGATCTGCGTCCGATCCGTCTCACAGATAAAGTCGCTGTTTCCAGACATTCTGTGTCCAGTGGTCCCAATACGTTAGACATGCGTATGAGTATTTCCAGCGAGGACGGCAGCTTCCATCTCCCAGGCACGTTGGGACTACCAAACTTCCCGCGAAGACTTCGTTCCAGTTGTTGGCTGTAAATACGGCGAAGTTTATCGAGGCTTGACTTCACTGAGAGTTCGGAGGACGTCCAACAATGCCAGGGAGTACGCAGTGATCCAACACTTCGAAGGATGATGACCCACAGGCTGATTGGCCTGAATTTGGCATTAAAAGATGTAAGAAGCTCCTTTGACGTTCAGTGTCAGTGGGCGGAACACAGGCTAATTTATTTGTCAACGACAAATGGTATTTTAGCTGAACTGACTGACACGTCAAACTTCCTCATTGCTATTTCACCCATATGATTGTACAGGTCTGAAGATGAATCATCGAAAACAATTGTTTACCTTCGGTCTTTCGTTCTTGATAATGAAATGGGAATTTTCCACTTACTGAACACATCAAACCGTTGGTACTAAGTCTACAATACTTCTGTTTCAGTGGCTCACCGAATCTCATGCAGATATTCGCACCAACTTTGCGCGTAGTTTGGATGAAGGCAAGTAGTATGTAAATAACCTATTTTATATGCTGCTGCGCCATTTAAAACTGATTGCAACGTGATCTAGTTAAGACCAAGTCTGCGTTGGTGATGCTGGACGCCGGGTGGCAGAGCGCATCTTGGTGTGTTCCTGTAGTTTGTGCT